CAGGGCAGTTACCTAGCCTCCCCTGCCCTCCTTGATCCAGCTAAAGGAAGAAGCTAGACCCTAAATTCAAGCTTTACAAGCAGAGGATAGGATCTCTATGGGTTACATGTGGAGGCTGGCAGTCAGAGACTAATTACCAGAAGATTTCACCAGCAGCCCCAGTGCCGCAACTGCACACCCAGCTCCTGCACCCACCCACGATACCTCTTGATCCATCCGGCCCAGTACCCACATAGGGACCCACATATGCATCCTGTCCCCATGGTGCATCCAGGTGACAACACAGGCACAGATGCAGAAACAGCTCTGAAGCTTTAGGAACATCTCTGAAGTCACCATCAACACTCAACTGGTCTCCAGGTTCTGCCCCACTCACATTTGGATACACATATGCACACATACTCATGTACCAGGACTCAGAGAGCCCAAGAAGGATAGCCTTACGGGACAGTGCAGGCCTTATCTCTCCCCTCTCACCCCTCGTCCTATCCCACTCCATCATCATCTATCCCTACCTTGAAGCCCTGCCACCATCTGCTTGGCCTACAAGACCCCACCCAAGGGAAAGGAGCCAAGCCATGAGCTAGCCCACATCCTTCCAGACTCTCCTCTTGCTGCCTCCTCCAGGCAGTCCACTTAAATTTCTACTCCTCAGAGGCATCCTTCTGTCAGCTGGGACGGACCAGGAGGATGACAACCAAAATGACAATAACTACCATTTCTCATATACACATTATATATTAGGCATTATGCCAGATACTATTCTGAAATCACAGCCCAAGAGATAGACACCAGTGGTGCCCATTTTACAGACCAGGAAAACCCTGTGGTGTGAGTCACAGGATTAGAAGAGGCACAGCCACAACTCAAACCCAGCATTGTCTTATGGCAAAGCCTCTCCCTTGACCTCAGCTTGAACAGCCTCTGTCTGGGAGCCCTCAAGGCTACCCAAGACATTCCAGTCCTCAGCAGAGCCGTGGGCTCTGAGCTCAGCCTGGCCTGGCATCAAGACATGTCCTGGAGTCCCAATCCAGCCCCAAGGTGGCCTACCCAATCCTGGCTTATGCCCACACAACCCCCAGCTCAGCAGTGGGCATGAGGTGGGCAGGGCCAGAGCTGAAGAGAAAATGCACCATTAAAAGGGAGCACCAGTCTGGTGCAGGGACAGAGGGATGATCACAGTGACCCAGAAGAAAACAGGCATCTGGGAGGGCCCTGGCTCCCTGGAAGGAGTTTAGGTAGGAGACTGTGCAGAGAAAAGAGCACACAAACATTCTCCTGCTTGCGTGGCAGGGTCAGCCCAGGTAGGAGTATGTCTAAGGGTGAGTTTATCTGCGTGCATGCCCATGTATGTCTTTGTGTGTTTTACCAAATGCTGCGTGTTTGTGTGTCACTGAGGAGGGAACATGCATTTGTGCACGCACATGTGTGTGTATATGTACGTATGTTTGAGAAAGTGTCCACGGGGTGCCCATAGCTAAATGGTTAGAGTGCCGGCCACGTGCTCCAGAGGCTGGTAGGTTCAAACCCAGCCTGAGGCCTGCTAAAAAAAAAAAATAGTGGAATGTTATGGCAGGTGCCTGTAATCACAGCTACTCAGGAGGCTGAGGCAAAAGAATCACTTTAGCCCAAGAGTTGAAGGTTGCTGTGAGCTATGACACTACAGCACTCTACTGAGGGTAACAAAGTGAGACTCGGTCTCAATAAAAAAAAAAGAGAGAGAGAGAGAGGTCCACATACACACCTGGACAAACCAACAGCACTGTATCTTTGTGTGAAGGACTTTGTGTATCCATCTGTCTGTCCTTGGGTCTGTGTGTGCATATGTGTGGGTGAACCCACATTTGAGTCTGCCTGAGTCCAAGTGTGTATCGAGGGCATCTTGAGTCTGGGAGGTGTCACTTTCTCTATAAGCCTAATTTGACATTTTTCTCTGTCTCAAAGGGTATGTGTGCATTGACGTGTGTGTTAGGGTGGTGGTGAATTCAGGTCCACAGTTTCCTATGTCCCTATGTGTGTCTATGGCCTCATGTCTGGGAGGTATTACTGTGTCTCTAAGCCAACATCAACACACGTGTCCCTTCTCAAAAGCTGCATGTATGTTAAGGTATGTGTGCTGCAGTAGATGAACACAATTCCATGGCTTACTGTGTCCATAGATCTGTAGGTCCATTGATAGTCATGTGTCTGGACATTCCTGTGAGCAGAACCTTTATGTCCCCATCATGGCAGTGGTGCTGGTGTATCCATGTCTCCACATCCCAGTAACGTATCTGTCTGTTGGAGGGAGTCTCCATCTGTCTACCCCACTCCACTTCCCCCGCCTGGGACTCAGGCCTGTGACTGCAGTGGGCTTGAGAGGCTCCAGTAGCCACTCGCCCAGACGCCCTGGATCGCCACACTTTTTCTAGAAGGAGAGTCTCCCCCCCTTGCCATTCCCCCTCGCCCACAGTGCCTTTCCCCGCCAGGGCCCCGCTGCTCCAAGCTCATTCCTGCTCAATCATTTATTGACTTTAAAATCGAAGCCAATTCTGGTTTGAAAAAAAGAAAAGGGAGAGAGAGGGAGAGAGCAGCAGGCCAGAGAGAAAGAGTCCGAGACACCAGGGGAGGGGGAAGCAGATATGGGGCCAGAGCCAGAGTCAGAGACAGGGATAGTCAGAGATATATAGAAGCACAGAGAAAGAGAAAGAGAGACAGAAAGGGATCAAAACCAAGCCAGAAATAAAGAGAAACAGAGACAGAGAAAGAGACAGTGAATGAAGGAGGTTGTCAGAAAAAGAGACCAGCCGGGCAAGCTGTAGAAGCAGAAAGATTTATAAAACCAGAGATGTGGCCATTGGGAAGGGGCAAGCCAGACCCTGCTGACCACTTGACAGCAACTGCTTGCCCAGAGCTGAGGGGTTTCCCTGCCCACCATGCAGGGATGCAGCCTGGCAAGACTGTGCCCGCTCCCCTCCGCAGCCACCCTAGCACATTCGAACTGTTATAGCCTGGATTTGCGGCTCACATCTACCTGAGCCCTTACTCCCTTCTGAGGTGTCACAGAGCCAAGCCCTGAAGCCATCATCTTGGGTCTGGGGGCCACTCTACCCTCTTCCTAACCTTGTCACCAGTATATTGGCTGACATTTTCTCTCCCATGTCTGTGAAATCCAAAGGTCGGGTGTTTCACCCACGCCACAGGGAGCAGGCCCAGATGTCTGGAGTGCTTGGTATGGTAGCCTGGTGGGCAAGGGGCAACTAGAGCATGGGATCTAGGCCCCAAACACTAGCCATACACATCAGCCAAATGTAGCCCCAAAGGTAGCCATAGGTCAGAGCCAGCCCGGTAAACAGGGTCATCGTGCAGAGGCCCAACGTGGTCACAGAGCTGGAGGCACAAATATGGGCTCATAGTACCTGCTCACACCTCCATACACACAATAATACGTCCATGTGCCTCTGTATCCTCAGTGACACATTGTCAGGCCCACTTTCTACAGGAAAATCCACTCCCTGGGCCACACACACAGCCATGCCACGCAGACCTGTCCACAACTGACCCACAGAGGCCACACGCAGACTCTAGACTGACTTTTACGCACACTCACACCTGTGTATATGAGAATGTAGTGTGGACACAGCTGACACACACTGAACAAATCCTCTCACCCTTCGACCACCTGCATGCTCCAAAGCACACCCCAGTCTGAATAGCAGCTGTATCCATATCCACGTGGACTCCCACTCTAAGCTGTGGGCACACTTGACACATGGCTGGCAGGGTTCAGGCTGGGAAGGGGAACAATCAGGGCCTGCAGCAGAGAACCCCACATGCAGGCCTAGTTGTCATACAGGGCTAAGCAAGCCCCAGGTGTCCCCTTTACGAAGACGGTGTTAACCAGCTGTGGCCTAACCCTGCAGGCAGCACTCCTGGGGCCACTGTGGGATTCTGGGCAGCTCCTATGCCCTCTAAGAATCTCAGACCATGGCCCACAGAGAGTGGGGTGGCAGAACAGACGTCCTTCTGGCCTTTGTCGCTGCAGCGTGCTGTGCAGGGAACTTCGCTGGAGGCGGGACCGCTCTAGCAGAGCACCAAGGTTGGCGCTGTTGTGCCCGCGGCTGACCCCACAGCGTGGCCGCAGCAGGATCCGCAACGTCCACAGCTGCCTCACGCCCCTCCTGCCTCCGGTGGTAGGACAGGATTCCCCAGGCCTGACGGGGTCGACTCCGCAGCAGCCTGGGTCGCTGTGGCCATAAAGTTTGCGTCGAGAAAAGTTTGTTGGGGTCCCGCAACTGCGATGTCCAGGGTCTGAGCGGCGCGGCCCGGGCTGGCAGCGCGCCGGCCCCTCTTTCCCCTCCCCTGCCCCTCGGAAATTTGGGAGCCCCGCCATTTTCTTAGCCCCGCTCCCATGTGAGGCCTGAACAAAGACTTTGGGGAGACGCCCGCGCAGCTCAGCCTGCCCCAGGCACCCCGGCAGCACATAAGGGTCGCCGCCACTCACGCCGGCCACTGCCACTCTCAGGAAAAGCTGCGCGCAGCCCAAGGAGTACCGCGGGACCCAATGTCCCCTATGTGTCCTCGGGACCACCCTCCTGCCACTCTGTCACCTCGCAAACCCTGCCAGCGGCCACGCTGCCCTGGTGCTCGCTACAGTCACCCACTGGTCGGCCGGAGTCTCACTGTCCACCGCACCCCAGTCGAGCGCGCGCGCGCACACACACACACACACACACACTCGCACTTGCAATCTCATTCCTGCCTGCGCTGCAGGGGCAGCGCCACGACGCAGCTGGCCACCCCCGGATTCCCCACCAAGAGTCCACCGGGTGGCCAGGGTCGCACTGGCCCGGTGACGACCTCATGCGTCCCCGGACTCCGCGCCGCACAGCTTGCACCCCTCGGCGGCCAGCGGGCTCACTCCCTCTGACCGCCGCGTGCCCCCTCCATCCGCCCGCGCCGCCGGCCGGCCTCCCGCGCCCGCTCCCCTCCCCCGGTCGCGCGGGGGCGGCGGCCGGTACCTGGGTGAGGCAGTACGGGGAGTACATAGCTGGGCGTCCGGGCGGGAGCGCGGCGGCTGGCCGCGGCGAGGGGAGGCCCGGC